ATGTGTGGACACCGACCATACACGTTGTATGTGCTGACCAGCGGATGCGTTTTGGCGGACGCCCACGACGACGCTGTGAGCGCATTGACACCAGTCAACTGGCGAAGCCAGCTGTTACGCATGCGTATCGAAGTACGCTGACATGCCCGTTGAGTAAGCGTTCACTAGAAACAATTGTAGGTCACTGGTCACATGTTCACCAGCCCTTACTAGCAACAGGCAAGTCCTCATGCAGCAAGTCTAATAGCCAACATAGACATTGGGTCTCTTCGCAGTCTCTGGAAATTATCGATGCTTGCCAGCACATTCCAGATGGAAGCGAACACGATGAGACTAACTAAAAACTCTGACCAAAACTCCGTGCTAGCCTGAAGAGGGACCGCGGATCCCGGTGGTCTCTTGGTGCGTCAGGGATGGAAGCGGCCGCTGCCCCTGGTAACCATCGAAAGTTCTTCTGCCTTATACGGGAAACGGGCAGCAGGAGACCTGGTGTTAGTGAAACTATACGTGACGAGAGTGGACAGCCTATCCACAACTTGTCAAAACGTTTGGAACATTAGACTGAAAAAGTTGAAAAGCAGTTTAATCGGCCGGAATTGTTAGATTCCTCACCAGCTAGAGATCGCCCTCTTCCCTGGACTGTCTCTTTGGATCCACCCTCTCGCTCAGAAGTCGAACGTGAGATGGGACTGTTGAAGTTAAATAAAGCCGTGGGACCAGATGATTTTCATCCAGTCCTCCTCAATTTTGGGGGCCCTGCTCTTGTTGATGATTTACACGAAATACTAGTGACACTATGGGAGCGGGAAATTGTCCCAACCAATGAAACCGCTCATCTTCAAAGGAGGCATGCGTTCGGAATGTGGCAACCACTGCCTCCAAAGTACTTGCCTCTGTAAGACTTCACAGACCGACTGGTGCTCATGAAAGCCAGATTCGTGAGGACAAAGTCAGGTTTCGTCGGGGTCGTGGGTGCATCGATCATACCTGCCCTTTGCGTCAGCTGTTGGAGCACCGTCACACATATTGGCGACCCACCGTTATCATGTTTCTTCCATTCAGTTGATCGATGTGCCATTTAGGACTGTCTACTTAGGAAATGAGGGCCCGAGAAATATGTAAATATTGTCCGTGCACTACACGGTAAAATCCAATGTAGCAAAATACTGAAAGAGCGTGTTTTCCGGTGCGCAGCTCAGGCAGAGTGAGGGCTTACGGCAAGCTGTCGCCAACCTTCAATATCTCCAGCGGTGTGAGACAAGGATGCCCGCTGTCACCATTCCGCTTCAACTTCGCTAGTGACGAAGTCGTGGAGATGGTGTTCACAGGACAAGACTTAGAAGGTGTGGAGCTACTACCAGGTTAGCGACTTCTTGATTTGGAGCATGCATGCGATATTGCCCTCTTATGTAACGGCTCCCAAACACGCCAAGTTGCATTAGACAGATTTCGTTCAGGTCAGAGTTGCATCGATCACATCTTTACACTCCGCCAAAGACTCGAGCGTCGTCAAACATTTGGCCAGCCAACGATCGTTGTCTTCTTAGACATACGACCCACTTTTGACTCAATTGACAGATCTGCTCTCTGGAGTTGTCTACTGAGAAGTGGAGTGCCCGAGAAGTGTGTCACTTTACTTCAAGCCATCTAGTCTCAAGGCTCGGGCCGAGTGCGGATGTACGGCAGACTTTCGCCCCCCCCCCTTTGGCGTGAGACAGGGTTGCCCAGCATCCCCCTTTTTCAATTTCGCTATAGACGAAATCTTGGAGAGTTCTCGGGAGAACTGCGAACCCAGCGGCGTCGAGCTGCTTGCGGGGGGCCGACTTCGGGATTTAAAGTATGCAGACGACATCACCGTAATCTGCGCTTCCTCACAGGCCGCTCAAAATGTTCTGTGTAGGTTGGAGATGTCTATCTCCCAGATTGGATTGACCTTCGCACCATCGAAATGCAAGGTTTTCCTGCAGGACTGGCCAAGCGCTGCTCCTGACCTTATCTTTCTAGGTCATTCATTGGGAGTGGTAGACAAGTTCGTTTAACTCGGAAGCTGTCTCAGCGCTAATTGTTTAATGGACGAAGTCCCTTTGCGCGTCTCCAAAGCTAGGAGTGCTTTTGCCAACCTCCATCATCTTTGGCATCGAGGTGATCTGAGTCTAGCTCCGAAGGGTCGAGTTTACGATGCCATAGTGAGAAAGGTTCTCCTCTATGGCTGCGAGACTTGGCCTGCTCGCGCAAAGGATGTTGAGGCTGTCGGTTTTTGAACACTGTTGCCTTCGGAGCATTGCTGGTGTACGATGGCAACATCACACTAGGAATGAAGATATTCGACGAAGGATTTTCAGATCAGACAGACTTTGCCGGTCATTGAGCAGTATAATTCCTCTGCGCAGAGTTCAGTGGCTTGGGAACGTTCTCCGCATGTCTGCTCATCGCTTACCTCGCCGTGCCCACTTCGTGTACGCAGACGTCGGCTGGAAGCGAAAGCGAGGTGGCCAAGATATGAACTGGACCAGGAGCATGAATGAGCTAACGTCAAAATTAGCCTTGGTCGGGCGCTCTTGGCTCCTTGGCTAAAGTGTGAAGGATCCAGAACACGCATCACTGGAAACGCTCTTGGATATGGCAAGAAATCGTGCACAATGTCGGAGTTGTTGTGACTCACTACACCCATGAACATCGTTTTCCCCCTCTATCTTCGTATGTTTATATATATATATATATATATATATATATATATATATATTCCAACTTACTTCATATGGTAATTTAGCGAAGAGTTATGCCACCGTATCTGTATGCATTATTGGATTTATTTTATTTCAGCTTGTCGTTTAAAGTGAATGGCTGTAGTTTGCTATCCCTGGTATGGTTGCGCTTGATGTGTATGTTGACAAGGTGCCTACCTGTCTATTACCCACTACATCGTTCCTACTGGCTCCAGGAGACAGTTGGTCGTTGCTGGAGGGGACGGGGTGCACGGTTCTTGTGGCCGTGCTAGGCTCAAAGAGCGGTTCCATGCTCTCAGTGTGGAGCGGACTACGGTCCAGCCACCGCCTTGTGTGCGGTTGATTCCCCAAATACAGCGTGCTTGTGTTTGCCTGTGAAGGAGTGTGGGCCGGCTCCGTTGATGAAACGTGGTTCCCATCCGCATGCCTCCCGGTCTTATTCCTTCGGGTTTACACTGGATATGGGGTATGTGGTTGGAGCTGTGGGTGGTGCAGCGCAAGCCATCCATGGTCCCTCTATATATATATATATATATATATATATATATATATATATATATATAATTTGGTCCAGCCAGGCCACTCGGGACCACTATCGAAGCGACGACGGGTCCTGCAGAGAAGGTAGGCAGAACCGGCGCAGCGTTTGTAGGTACGCTGAATTCGATTTACTAACCGCGTGCTTGCATGCTAAGCCTCTTCATTTCAAGTGGTGGGCTTTCAATTTTGCCTTAATGCTTTTCTTTCTCATATAAATGTCTACCTGTACTCTATTCCATTAACTTGCGCACCTCGCTTAAGCCAGTTGTATTCGATTTCCATAGCCTTTTGTGTTCGTGGCATTTCCGTAAAGTATACTTGCTGACCTCGCGAACTTATCTTGGATTCGTTTGAAAACAACTTATTTCATATGCTCATTAACTTAAGGTTTATGTCACCGTTTCCTTATGCATTAATCGAGTTATTTTATTGGTATCTCTCTCTCTCTCTCTCAAGTGATTGGCTGTTGTTTGATATCCCCGGTGTGGCTGCGCTTGATGTGCATGTTGACAAGGTGCCTACCTGTCCATTACCCACTACCTCGTCCATACTGGCTCCAGGAGACAGTTGGTCGTTGCTGGAGGGGACGGGATGCACGGTCCTTGCGGCAGTGTTAGGATCAAAGAGTGGTTCCATGCACTCAGTGTGGAGCGGATTACAGTCCAACCACCGCCTTGTGTGTGATTGATTTCCAACTACAGCGTGCTTGTGTTTGCCTGTGAAGGAGTGTGGGCCGGCTCCGTTGAGGAAACGTGGCTCCCATCCACATGTCTCCCAGTCTTATTCCTTCAGGTTTACACTGGATATGGGGTGTGTGGTTGGAGCTGTGGGTGGTGCAGCGCAAGCCACCCATGGTCCCTCTGTAGGCGCAGGCGTCCTGTGGCTTGCCACAGTGACAGGCAAATCCGAAACCGGACGCCGCCAACCATAATTTGGTCCAAGCCACCAGTGGTCATGTGTTCGGCTCCTGGTGACGCTTGGGGATGCGCATCACTGACGAGCCCCAATAGGGCGGAACGATCGTCTGGTGCTCGTCCACAGTGCCGGCCAGTAGCCTTAAGGATCACAAGCCTGCCTTCTAACCCGAGGGCGGGGGTTCTGACCTGCGTAGGAGACCGGGCGAACCTGCAGTATCCTTAGGCCACATGCGACGTGGTGTTTGCGAGGCCGTGTAGCGTCGGTACTGAGTACCGACGTAGGGCGGATGCCTTTTACTGCCAGATTGATGGCTAGACTATCTGGCTTATGATGTGCTGGGATGATCCAAAAAATTTCACCCTTAACCGCAAAGAAAGGCAATACAGTTTATCTGATAAATTACGTGCGTCACACCGCTGTGGTGTACTGCATTGTACAGGGATAAGCAGTAAAACGAACTGCAAGATGTTGGGAGGATTAGGAGAAGACTCGTACGAATCAAGAATTCAGATAACTAACGATAAGAAGAATTTGCTTCAAGGTAACGAACAAGGACGTGTTAGAGTTTAAATAGCTCTAATGCAGGCTGTTGACACGGAACAAACGACTCCACTGAAACATGTGGACCAGCAGATTGAGGTTTCTGGTAGAAAGGAACAAGCGTTGTCAACGAAACAAAGGGGTATACAATGTGGTAAACATGGCCTAAAGTAAACAATGCATAAAAATCTATCCGCTTTATAGACACCGAAAGGCTCGAAATGGTCCCATCAGATGATCACTAAGAAACAAGCTGACGGATAAGAGAGCACTCACTTTTGTTCTTATTTGTTTTGCGGTGTCTGTAAGGTAAATGGACGTGGTTGGGTCACTGGCACTCATTTTTGTCTGATTTCCCTGCAAAGCGGGAAAGAATCCAGAGTAGAGCATCACCGGTTTGGGTAAACCCAATCTTGGGGCTACATCTCTCGTCATGCGGAAATAGGGATCTTGGTCGATGGCACAGGGAATAAGGCAACCCATCTGCTCTTTCTTTGGAACATTGCGAAACACAGTTGGAAATGCCTGAGCAAAACACGGGGCGGCCTCAACAGCTGGGAACGCGACTTTGCCAATGGAATCACTCTCGGTGAAACCGAATAGCCCACGGACCTGATTGAACGTCACAAGACGCTGGATCTGGCAAACAGTTCGGTAAAACTCTGGACATTGCCTGGATCAAGCGAAGACAAGGAATACAATAAATAAAACCGAGCAAGGGATGAAACCGGAAAGTAGGTGATATCTGCACAATACTTTGCTTCTACTTTGATGGGAATAAATATAAAAAGAAAGGAACTCCAATGGGATCAACAATACCTGGGCATTCTATTGAGGTCAGTGTAAAAAGTTGGAGTGTATTACAATACACAGTTAGCAACACGGACGTAGATCCCTACTCTGGCAAATGGAACACGATCCTCAACGATTTCCGGAAGTCAGTACAGATAAATTGGTAATTCGAAAGAACGCGATTTGTAGTGAAGCGGAACTGAGTTGGTTAACAGGGGCAACAGGAGGGAAAAGCCGGCGAGTCCAAGATGATGACAAACAGGTGGGCGTGGAGCGATTGTTTATCGTGGGATACAATTCAAAAGGAGTAGGAGTTAAGTTCAGAAGGGACATACGAAACAGGAGGTAGGGCGAGAGCTTCTAGTAGAACACTGAAGATTTGAGTCTATTGCAGCAGTTCACAAGATGGATCTTTCTAATAACTGGATGCTGGGCCATTGTGCAAATGGATCACATAGCACTTGTATCTACGCGGTTGATCCATTGAAGAAATCCCACGCGACTTCTTCAAGGAAGTTTCACTAGACCTCAGACCGGCCCTGGCCCTAAAGATCATAAGCCTGCCTTGTAATCTAAGGGCGCAGGTTCGAGCCTGCGTAGGGACCGGGCGACCCACGCAGTATCCTTAGCCCACGCGTGACTGGTGGTGACTGCGCGACAACGAAGGATCGGTACAACGTACCAGCGTATTGCTGGTGCCTCTCAATAGGCCTCAAAGGAGTGGCACGAGTGTAATGTACAAGAGATGCTCAATGCTGACGAGCTTTCAGAGTTCCTTTGCGAGGAGAGCGGCAGGTGGGAGTAACACTGGAAGTATATCTAGCAACAATTGAGAACCGCTTGTAGGAAGACGTCACGCGCATACCAGGTCGCCATAAGTTGCGATTCCTCATAGATCGACCAAAATGTACAGTGTGGGTTGGAGGTGTTTGTCTACCAGTTCGCAATGACCTCTGTCCCATACAAAGTGTAACGCCTTCATGCAGATTGGCTAAGAGCTACATATGTTCCCATCCATTTAGATTATCCTTTGGAAATTGTGTACAAGATCGTTTAGCTCGGACAATTGAGGTCTCTCTTCGCGTCTTTAAGGCTAGGAGTGCTTTTGCTAGTCTGTCATCGGAGTCGACGCGACCTGAGTCTTGCTCTCTTTCTGAAGGGTCAAGGCTACAATGCCGCGGAGAGAACGGCCATACTCTCTGCGAGATAACCTGTTCACGCAAAAGATGTTCAGGAGTTGTCAGCTTTTGAGCACCGCTACCTTCAGAGAACTCCTAGCGTGCGATTTCAACATCATGCCAACAATGCAGACAGACTATGCCGACTGCAGAGTTGCATTATTTCACTGTCCATGCTACGCATGCCGGCACAGCGTTTACTTCCCCGTGCCCTCTTTATGTGCGCGTAAGACGGTCAGAGGCAAAAGAGAGCTGATCGACGAATGCCTAGCGCCAAAGTTAGGGTGGCGGAGGTTGAGTGTTCTCGACTCTTCGGCTGAGAGCGCAAAGGACTATACGCTTGACTAGAAAGTTTCACGGAAATGCCAACATCTCGCACTCAATGGTAAACATCAGATCCTAGAGTCACAAAAAATATGCTGCAGTTTTCTCTTCTCTCCCCGTTCGCCATATTGCACTTATCTTTAGGTTGAGTCACACTTACAATTTTACCACTACACATTGTGCGACCATTGGCGCACTAGTGTCAGAAAAGTATAAAGCTTTGCTGCGCGCAAGTATGACCCTGAAGGATAGTAGGTGTCAGGAATCGCGTCGGCGATTCACTCGAGAGCTTCACCTCATCAAGAAGGCAAGGTGGGTGAAGAAGGCGAAGCAGATAGGATGCTACGCTGAATGTCGCCAACATAGGGAGTTCTATGAATCCTTGAAGACAGCGTATGAACCCATCTTGCAGCTGCTGAGGACGCTGGTGGATATATTTCGAGTGTTGCCTGTACAGAGACTGCAGATAACATGCAGATATAGTGCAACCAGTTCGATTGATTCTAGGACAATCGTTCAGAGAACGGGCTGCAAGAACAAAAAATGTGAAGGGAGATCGTGCTGACACCCGAACACTGCATGAAGCACAGACAACACTCGCTCGGCTGCAAAACGCCAAAAGCGAAGGAGCTGATGGAAAACCACCAAAATACTGAAACAAGGCGGACCACAAACTCTAGATGCGTAGCACGACCTGGTGGAACGCGCCTGATTTGAAGAACAGGTGCCAGATGTACTGAAGGATGCTACCTGTGCTACAACTGTATAGGGGCAAGCAATGTGCCAACAATTATCGTGGGTACCAACTTGTTAAGCTGTGCGGGAAGGTGATTGCGCGAATCCTGCTCAAGCGCTATGTCACTCGGGTCCTTGAAACAAACGTGACCGAAAAGCAATGCGGATTCCGTTCGGGCCACAGCGCCATAGATATGGTGTTCGCTTCTCGTCAATTTCAGGAGAAATGCCGCAAGCGCAACCAGACACCGTACTTGCTGTTTGTAGACTTCACTAAGGTATTCGACACGGTGAACCGCGAGGCACTGTTGGTAAGCTTGGTTGCTAAGCTAAGTTTTTAGGTCTAAATGAATGCCTGCAGTGATGCGCGAGCGACGTGCGGCTATGTGGACAGACCTCAGATGACTTTGATGCTGTCGGTGTCTTTGCCTCTGCCCTGTTTAATATTTATCTAATGGCTTAGATGGATAAAGCTTCAATGCATCGTATCAAGGTTTTTATCTTGATGGCGCATCGCTGAACATGTATCGTTCCAGGGATAGAACCCGAGTGCCAGCGACAACCATTTGGATGCTGCTGTTTGCAGACGACGGCGCGTTGTTTGTATACAGAGAGGATGAGTTGCAACGTATAAAGACGGCGGCCAAGTTAAGACACACCAGCGACACAAGTGGAACTGCTTTTTGCAGCCATCATCAAGGGTCGGTCGCAACGAGACTGGAACTTAACGTGCTGCGACGGTTTGAGTACTTCTTTGACCAATGAGTGGTGCTCCCGGTCCCCAAGAGAACTATTCCTACCAGGTTGGTCAATGGTTGAAGGTCAGACAAACCCAGCCTTCTGGCCCTCCAGCTGGGGTGTTTGAAAAAAGATGGTGTCCGTTTCTGTATAAGCAAATCTTTGTCACCTCACCACTGTCTTGAGGACAAGCTTTTGAGAAAAAAAGCTTTCGTTGAGGACCCTAACTGTTTTCCTCTCTAGGTATGAGCACCCTGGCATTATCCAAGCGCACGTACAATTATGACTATCTCCTCAAACCTCAACCATATCCCGCATCGGCCGTAGCGCAGATTAGCAAGGGTTGCCTTAGCTGCTGCATACAGCAAGGCGGATAAGTGAAAACATCCTACTGCTGGCGCTTCCCTTCTTTCAGTTCCACCTGTTTCGCTTACTCCCCTCCCACTTCCCACTAATAAACTTTCTTCTATAATTCCCAGATTAATTGACAGCAGACACAATGCCACTGCAGTTCTACCATCTGTATCTATCTTCCTGCACCATCCCATCGCAAAGAGACTGGACCTTGGCGTGGTGCGATGGTTTGCGTACTCCCGTGGCCCATTGACCTATGCTGCGTGGCACTTTCCAAGTGCGTCCAGATCCACTCATAACAGATAAGTCAATGGTTATGGGTCAGACTAACTCAGTCTCACAAGCCAATCCTCTTCAAAAGTTAGGGAGAGGTAGATGGCCCTCATCCTTTAAAACCTAGCCATGGGAGACAACAAGTCTACGGGTTATAAGCTCACAGCTAGATTAGCGTAGAGCACAATCGCCACGCACTGTTTCTGACGGTGGGAGGGTACCTTCGGGTGCTCAATGGTTTGCTACCTCCCATCTCAAACCAGGCACACCCTGGACAAATTGGTGCAAACCCGCCAACTCCCCTTTGCGAATGGCTGTTGTCTCAGGTGCGCAACTTAATACGGTCGCAAAACACATGTGAATTGTTCCGAACCTTCAAAGGCTGTATGCGACAGGCCTAGTAAGGAGCCCAATGCGTCTCTGCAATCACACTCCCGAGCTGAACTTGCTCCCCACTGCCTTGTAGGTTAGATTGTTAAGGCTAGAGGTAGGGCACTTCGAAAAAACGTCTCTCTCGGAATTGGCAACCGGAGTATCATCTGATCTCTCGACCACGTCGACAATACTCCTCCTTCTTCTCCTTACTTGCTCTCCCCTCCCAACTCTCTTCTTCCCCATCTATTGAGCAAGAATCTACCATTGATCTCGCTGCTGCTACCATCGATACTCGTAACTCGTCCATCAAACCACGAGTCTCATTTCACATTGGTTCTTTTAACGTCTGCACTTTGGGTCAGATCGGTGAACAGGCAGCACTAACTATCACTCTCTTGGTAGTGATGTGTGGTCTCCGAAACACGCACAGGAGATAACAGCGTTGTGACGAACCTCCGACTATCTGGTTCTAAAGCTAACGACAATTGCTACACTCTTCGCGTCTCAGGTGATACGGAGTCAATGGCGCAAGGTATTTACGGTGTTGGTATCGGCACAAGCAGACATGCTGAAGGTAATCTGCTCGACGGGATACCAATGTGCGGTTCAACTTGGAACCTATAGTTAGGCTAACAAGCACTGTATGAAGACTAGGTGCATTTTCATCGCTTTCTACTGACCGCAATTCGGTGAGTACCCAAGATGATTTCCATTACCACCTTTCATCTCTTCTCCGCATGGCGAAGAGTACTGACATCGTGATTGTTGCTGGTGACTTGAATGTCCAACTTGGTCGTTTTTCAGATTCTGAACAACACCTGGGAAGGCGCTCCGGAACCGATGGTGATTGATCCCTACAACTGTGCGCCGACCCCAATCTTTAGATTCACAGCATCGCTTTTCA